GGGCTACCCCTCCCCATCTCCGCGCTTGCTCCACCGTCCCCGGGGCAGGTCCCGCTGAAAGGAGCGGCGTGGCCCTGCTGTCACCCCGGGGCAGCAGTGAGGGGAGGTGAAGCCCAGCACAACAGCCAGGTTTCTTCAGAAAAAGGCCGAAAAAGCTGGAGTTGCCCGTGAGCTGTGGAACACCCTGGGGGTGCTGGTGAACCTCGGCAGAGGTGCGCCAGGGTCCGGGCCTTGCAGCTCGGCCCAACCTCCGCGATCCCCCCCGCGCTTTGGTTGTCACAGCCCAGCAGCAGGCAGCTCCTGTCCCAGAGCCAGCAGCACGGCCAGCTGAACCCACCCCCACGAAGGCAACTGCCTCCCGGCAGGGCCTGCCGGGGCACTCGCCCTGAGGGATGGAGGCCAGAGAAACTGTGGCTTCACAGCCCGTAGGGATGGATTTCACACTCCGAACACTCCGAGACTGTTTTTAAAGAGAAGGACAGTTCCTCAGCTCAGAGGGGGATTATTTATTGTTTGTTTTCCTCCCCCATGTGGAGGGCACAGCAGCCTCCCGCGAGGACGGACACAGCCGTCCCTTGGGCAGTGCGTGGGGATGCCACCTCCTCAGTCTGACAGAGATGAAGTGTTGTAGGACGCTTTCTTCAGGGTCTCCAGGAAGAATTGCTCATCTTCTAAGAAATCACGGTCCTGAGAAGAGAGGGATGGATGGGATGGATATCAGAATGCCACAGAAACAGGGTCACAGTCCAGGGTGTTACTCATGAGCGAGGGAAGTATCCCAAACCCTCCTTCACGCAGTGAGCAGGGGGCAGGCACCCATCTGTGGTACCCCTGGGGTGTATGGGCTCCCCTCCAGAGCCCATAACCTCACACTCTGAGCGAGACCCACAGAGGAAGCCTCAAAGAGCATCCCCGCCTGGGGAAGGACCCAGCAGGGAAGCAGGGGGCTGATGGGAAAGGTGTTGGACATCATGAAGCCAGAGTCCAGCAGAGCTGGATTCTCCCTCCCAGTGATAGGGTGAGGAGAGGGGCAACCCAACTGAGCCAAGGACGATGTCTATCCCAGGTTGGACATTGAGCCAACCTGAGACAAGCTGTAAGGATCCACCCGTCCTTTCTTCTGGTATCCCTCCTCTAGGTGCCCATGGCTTCTGCAAGCCCTCCCAGCCCAGCCCAGCCCTGTGGCTCAGTAATGATCTGAGGAGACACGCCAGCCTGTGGCTATCAGGCCCGAATCAGGCTTTACCCAGCCCTGCTCCCACCCAGCTGGTTCAAAGCCCCTTCCAGCCCCAGTCTCCCCACTGCCTCACCTGCTGGGCCCTGTGTTTCAGCAGCAGCAGTTTGGCGTAGAGCTCAGTGGGGCCGGCCATGGCCAGGGTTTCCCTGCTACCCCCAGGGCTGTGCCGAGGGAGCGCCCTGACGGGAGGCGGAAAGCCTGGAATGAGATCCCGAGCGCGTGGTGCCGCCACTGTTAGAGGAACTGCAGATGGAGACAGCAGAGCATCCCTTTTGTTTGCTGCCTGCACGCCCCTGCAGCAGGGTCCTCCGCAGCCTCCCAGTGCAAACGGGCTTTAACCCACCTACCTCTCCCTTCCTGCCCCCTCTACTCCCTCATAGCACTGCCCTGGCTCAGAGAGCTCCGCTGAGCTCCTTCAGAGGATGACAAGGCCAACACCAACTCACATATGAGGTTTATATACAGGGGAACTAAAACAGCCCCCAGGAACATCCCAAGCCTCCCGAGAAGTGGAATACAAGTGCAGCTGCCCCCCAGCATGTCCCTTCCCATCAGCAGCATGCAGGAAGCCTTACACAGTGTGCTGGAGAGGCCTTTCGTGGGGGCACTGAGGTCCTGGTCTGTGGTCAGCAGCATCACGGGGTTGTTGGGCAGCTCCTCACGAAGCTGTTCAAGCTGTCTCCTCTGGTGAGCCATGCTCAGCCGCTCCTGCCCCGTCCCCAGGAGACAAAGAGAGAGAGAAGCTGTTGGCAAAGGTTCAGGTCCTTGGCACGGCAGCCCCAGACCGAGAAGGGAAGGCGAGGGGGTATTTACCTGTTGCAGACGCTGTTCCTGCTGCTTCAGCTGCTCCAGGTGCTGCTGCATGACTTGCAGCTTGGTCTGGTGCTCAGACTCCATCCTGCATGCCTCCTGCAGGGCTCGCTCCCCTTCCTCGTACTTCTGGGATGAGAGCTGCGAGGCAGAGCGGCTGGGGAGGCTGGGGACAAGAACCCTCGCTGCCCTGGAGCAGGGCTCCTTTGTGCATCCCCTTATTCCCCTCCCCAGACAGGATTAGGATTCATGACTTCAGGAGGGGTGTGAAACCCCAGCTTTGCTGCTGGCCCGTGTACGGCTGTGAACTGCAGCGCAGATGCTCTGCTTACCTTGGTCATGCTTTTAATCTCCTCCTCCCGCTGCCGGATGCGCAGTGCGGCCCCGTTCACCTTCTCCTTCTCCAGCCTCAGCTCCTGCCAGGCCTCGTCCAGCAGCTCCCTGTCCCTCACCAGCTGCTCCTCCTTGGCTTTCAGCTCGCGGCCCCGGATCTTCAGCTCTGCCTGCTCCTAGGATGGGCATGGGAGAAACAAATGCATTACCTGCCCTGTCCTGGACACTATCTCAAGTCGTCCGAAGTGATGGGGGAGATCAGCCCTGTTGAGCTCCTCGTGTATGCCAGTTTGGGGTGCACAGCAACAAAACCAGGGGCTCAAGCAGTGCTCTCATCCACCCACCCTGGGGGACCAGGGCTGGCAGAGCTGGGATTGTACAGACACACACACATACACACACACTCCTTCCCCAGAAAGGACAGGGTCCCTCACCATGTTGCACACCCTAAAACATGCTCAAGGCACGGCAGTTTGTCAGCAGTGGAAATATCCAGCCTGAATGGTTATTTTCCACCCTGGTAGCCCTTAAAAATGCAGCTCTGCTGCACTGTCTGTCTGGACAGCCCAGGGGGGAGCAGAACTGGCTCTGGACATGCCCCCATGGCACGGGGAGGTTTTGCCTAACCCTTTCCTCTCACCAGACTTACAATGGAGGCGGCTGCGCCTGGTCTGGCTGCCCAAACTCCTCAGAGGTAAAGGGGAGAGGCAGAGGTGACTGATGCTCTAGTCAACATCTCAAACAGGCTAGTGGAGACTGTTCCTGGAACAGCCTGATTCTCACCACCCCGAGTGACGTCTCTGTCTTAAACACCTGAAGGCAGCTCTGAACTTCTCCCCTGTGGGCAGGACCCATCTGTGAGCCTGCCAGGCGGTGCCGGAGGCCACGGGAAGGGGCTCCGCTGCGGTACCTTGGCCAGGCTCATGATGGTGCTCTCTCTCTGGGAGTCCATCTGCAGGGCTCGGTCCATCTCGCGCTCCATCCGCTCCTTGTTCAGCTGCTGCCGGGTGTGAAATTCAGCCCACTCAGCCGCCAGCTTCCGTCGCTCCTCCAAGCACTTCTGCATCACTGACTTCTGCTCCTCCAGCAAAGCGCTCTGGAGAGCATCACAAGAGAGGGAGAGAGAAAGCACTAAGTCCCATTTGCCATAGGATTTTTCTCCTTTAACCCATCTCTGCCACTAAACCCCACGCAACATCTAGAGGCTGGTTCAAGCCCATGGTGCCTGGCGCAAACCCTGCATGGAGAACTCTGGCCCCACGCTCCTTGAGAACCGGCATGCATCATGCATGCACACAGCAGCCTCTTGCATCCACGTGCCAGAGGGTTGGTCTGATTGCAATTCACCGTGCAACCGGGTGTAGGACTGAGGAGGCAGAGGAAGGATGCTGCAGCCCAGCACCCAGTTCTTTCGCCCACCACACACCGCAGTGCAGCCCCGGTCAGACTCACGGGACATGTGAAAAGCACCTGGAGATATCTGCCCCACCTCACCTTCGCCCTCTCCAGCTCTGCTCGCTCCATAGAGAGCTGCTGGGTCGTGACTCGCCGCTGCTCCTCCAGTGAGTGCTGCAGCGATTCCACTTTGGATTGCTCTGCCGTCGCCCTCCATCGCTCCTGCGTTCGGTCACAGAGGAGAGAGAGTTGCCATTCACAGGCTCCAGGCCAGGGACCTCCAATGGGCAAGACATACGCCCCATACACAGACAGGAGGGCTGACCTGGGCAGAGGACACAGCGTGGGCTCACCTGCTCCAGCAGCCGAGTCTGCTCTCCCAGCCTGGCCTCCATTTTAGCGATCACCTCCTGGAGTCGGCTCCGCTCCTCCTCCATGTCCCTCTGCTGCTGTGACAGCCTGTCCTGGAGCACTGGGAAGAGGCAGCAGCAGGGCCATGAGCAGCATGACGTGGGAAGCCCCCCTCTCCATATTCATGGAGACACTGCATGCGTTTGTGCTCATCACCTTCTGCACATCCCCAGGACACTGTTTTGTAAAGGGGAGACCCTCAGATGTCCAGTGACCAAGGCAGGCAAGGCTTTGCCAGCCTCGGCTCCCAGCCTCTGGTTGACTCGGGGCAACTTCTCCCTGTTTTCTGGGTGTCCCCAGCCCCAGCGGGGACCCCACAGCCATTTCGGCGCAGAGGAATGGCAGACGTACCCTTGAGCTGCTTGTCCCGCTGCTGTGCCCCCATGGCCAGCTCCTGGGAGGTGGTGTGGTGCGTGGCCTCCACCTTGTGCGAGAGGTCGTGCAGGTCGCTGGAGAACCTCTCCATCTGCTCGATCACGCCGTTCAGAGACCTGTGGAGAGGAGCGAGGGGAAGCTCACCCCTGTGGGACACATTTCATCTCACCGCAATGGAGAGGGGGATGTGTGGTGGGCCAAAGGCTGAGCAGCCCTGCCCCAAACCTCTCTGGGTCATAGCAGAGCTGTAGGAAGATGTAGCTGCTGCTTAGGGGAGTACTGATGGATATTAAACAGCTCAGCATCCCTGGAGGCAGTGGGTGGGAGAGGGGATGGCCCCTGCTGCCATGGTGCGAGGCTGGTTCCCCGTAGGACAGGGAACACCACAGCCAGGGACTATTGTGGGGATACGATGCTGGCCGTCGGTACCTGGTGTGTGAAGTGGCGCTGGTCACCGCATCGATCTCTTGGTCTTTCAGCCGCTTCAGCCGCTGGAGCTGCTCTTCGTGGTCTTTGCGCATCTCCTGGACAGACGCCCTGTGGGACACGGGGAAGGAGCCCACCACAGGCTGCTAGAAACCAGTGCTCCTCGTGACAGGCACCGTGGAAGAGGCTTGGTCGTGGGGCTGACAACCAGGACCCAGGAGCTGAGCTGGCATGGCAGTCTGCCACGGGGCATCCCACTGACAGGCATCCACATTTGGGATAGACCACATTTGGGGGTTATGGGCTTCTCTACCAAAAACTGATTTCTCATTGACCCAAACCATGTGGACATCAGCGACTCACTGACCTGAATAAAAGGGATTTGGGGGAGATAAAACACTGGGTTCAGCATCTTTCAAAATACAATGCATTCACTCTGAAATGATGTCTCCAGCCAGATCTCCCTGCAAAGCAAATCCCCATTCCAAAAGCCACTGAGCTGCCCGCAACCCAGTGCTTCTGAAGTCTGATTTCTCCTTTCACCATGTCCCTGTTCCCTGGTTCCTTTGCCAAAAAAGGGAAATTAGCCCCATGGGTGCCGCTCGTGCCACTCTCACCTCTGCAGCTCTTGCAGCCGCTCCAGCTCCAGCGCGTTCTGCTGCTCCAGCGCAGCCAGGCGCTGCTGGTGCTGCGCCAGCAGCTCTGCCCGTGCCTGCTCTGCGTCCTGGCTCTGCGACAGCAGCTGAGCTGCCAGCTGCTCCTTCTCCCGCCGCAGCCTCTCCTCCCGCTGCCTGTAGGTTTCCTCCACCACCTTCACCCGGCTCCTGCCCAGTCACGGCAAGGAAGAAGTGTTGCTTTCATGGCAATACCCAGCACTCTCCACCCAAAGTGCACACAGGGATTTAGGAGCAGATTGGTGTCACTGTGTGCATGGGGAAACACGCAGACTCTCCGCAGCCTGAGCCCTGAACCCTCCTGCGGTGCCCTGGTTGGGGACGTGCTGGCAATGGGACCGGCCCCTCCTCCTTGTCACCCATGGGACAGTGTTGGTGAGAGTGGACCCCCACCTCGGGTCACCCGTGGGGCTGCTCTCTGCCCCTGCCAGGTCCACATCAACATAGCTCTGTGCCTGCCCGCCCCAGGGATGGATTTGGGAAGTGCCCCAGCACTCCCATCCCAGGGGAGATGGACAGAGCCGTAGGTAAGGATCTGACAGAGGAGGGGAGCACAGGAGAGAGCCTGGTACCTGTGGGCGCTCTCGAGGAGATCCAGGTCCTCCTGGTGCCGCTGCTGGAGCCTCTCCAGCAACAGTTTGTGCTGTGTCCGCTCCAGCTCCAGCGTCCGGACCTGCCGGGCACCCGGGGAGAAGGTCCTTGTGCCGCCCTGGGGACAGAGCTCCCACAGCAGCACTTGGTGGCTGTGGGCATCTCTGCACCGGGAGGTTTCTTCTCTCTCCCCTATCACCCTGATGCTGTTTGGAGCGGACATGGCCCCTTCTCCTCCCCCTGGGACACCCGTGGTCCCCCATCCAGCAGACGATGGGGCTCACCTGGCTCTCCAGCTCTGTCACACGGGCCTGGGCGCTGAGCAGCGCTGCCCGACAGCCTGATGCATCCTCATAGAGCTGGGCCCCCCCTCCCCTCTCATGCAGCAAGCCCAGGGCTGGGGTCTCTGCCTACCGGGATGGAGAGAGAAGATCGAGGCCCTTCAGGATCAGTGGCTTTGTGGTGTGGCCATCAGCCCCCAAAGGAAGGCACATGCCTCACCTGCAGCTGTGGGGCAGCCTGGAGATGTGCCCTGGGTGTGGTAACCTGCGGAGACACAGCGATGCTCTCAGGGAAGTAAAGCCCTGGGGAGAACGTCTCCTCCTAGCCTGGGAATGGTGATCCATCCCCAGCCTACCGCAGTCCCTCCTCTACCCTTCTCCAGCCCAACCCCACTGCTGGCCTGGGTCCCTTCTCCCCAGGTGACGCTCAGCAGCCCCGACCCCAGACACAAGCATGCTGGACTCTTCCTTCTCTGGGGACACGCTCAAGGATAAGACCATGAGTCCTCTGGGAGACAGCGTGCGTCCTGCCACCAGGGCAGGGCGAGGAGGCCCTGCCACATGAGAAATGGAGGCTTCAAACACCAAGCAAGAGCTGCCCTCTCTGTCAAAGGCTCTACTTCCCCCTCAATTGTCTAGAAACAATCTCAGAGCATCTTCACCACCATACTGGGGAAAACCAGCTGAAAAAAAAGTCCTTTATCGACTGGAGCGTCTGTTGTCTAATTAATATAATATATATATGCCTGGGGAACTATGTAAATGCTGCTCAGGCAATGCAGGGTTATAAACGCACATGATTTACACAGCATCCATAGTACACAAGCTTTGGCCTGATAAATACAACTTGTGGCATCTTGGGGCTCTCTAAACACTTTGCCTCCATGAACACGGGCTCCCAGAGATGCAAAGCAGGGCAAAACCTTCCTCCTACCAAGGGAGCACGGACAGAGTTGGATGCCAGCAAGTCAGCAGGGGAGGGCTTGCGACCCCGCATCTCTTGGGGACATGGGACCAGCAGACCTACCTGAGCAAGCGGGGCAGGGCCCTGCGCCTCCTGCTCTCCTGGGAACAAGGCTGTGGGGACTGAAAATTGAACAAGTCCACGATTCAGACATGGCAATGGGAACCATCCCCTCCCAGAAGGACGAGGGCCTGGGTCTCCTGGGCAGAGCGAGAAGGGTCCTGCTCCGCTCCAGCAGCTGGTGACGGGGACAGAGGGTCAGACAGGCTTGTCCGTACCCGCACCCCTACCCCACCCCACCCACGATGGTGGGACTCCGCTCTGCAGAGCAAGCCTGGGGGCAAAGCACGGCTCCTCCTCCATCCCCATCACCTAGGGAGGCAGCTGGGTGCCCTAAGCTTCTTTCAGTGGCCTCTGAGCCAGTGCACAGCCTCAGCCCAGGGCAGCAGGGGGTCTTCCAGCACACAGAGCTAGTGGGACGAGTGTGGGAGCAGCAGGAGGGAAGGGGGAGAGAGAAGGGACAGCAAGAACTTACGCCCACCCATTGCTCAGAAAGAGCAAGTCCCTTGCAGCCCTCTGATACCCCAAAGGCAGCACTGTGGAGCTCAACATGCCCCAGCACCATGTCCCCACCACGCCACGAAACGGGGACAGTGGGATCCTGCAGCTTGGCAGCCCACTCCGACAACGGCTGGTCAAAGCCTAGGCAGCGTTCACATGGCTGAGGGCGATGCTGTGGCTCCCGCCCTTTTTTTTTTTTTTTGCAGGGCAGGGGGACCCTGCAATGGCAGCATACTGCTGCCCAAACCACCCAGCCACACGAAACGCACCCAGGGTGCTGGCGTCTCTGGAGGGATCCCCCTTCGCAGGCTCCGACAGGTGAGCTGAGGCTCGTTTCGCGGTGCTGAGCCAGGGGACCGGCTGCCTGCATGGGCACAGACACACGAGTGATGCACAGCAGTGTCACAGTTCAGGGGGAGGCGCACAGACGTTATCCTGCTTGGCACTTCTTTACGTTTAAAGCTTGGCTGTTCCACGTGATCAAATAGGCAAGAGCCTGATGATCCTTCAGGGCTGCCTTCCCTCCCAGTTACCCTCCCAGGGCTGCCTTCCCAGAGGTCCCAGACCAAAGTGAACCCTGCTGGCTACCAGCTCTCCCCATTCCCCCATCTCACCCACACAGCTGCTTTCTGCAGGAAACCTCACCCATGGAGGACAGCCGAAACGTGAAAGAGGCCTTACCCGGAGCCGCCTGCGCTCGCTGCCTTGTCCTGCAGAGCAGCTGCCTGCTGCGGTGCTCCTGTGGAGGCGGCTGGCTGGCTGCAAGCAAAAAGCATCCTATGTGGGAGAGCCGAGGAGGCGATGAAAGACAAGATCCTTTCCCCCAACACCAGTCCCTGCCTCGCAGGTGACAGCCTCCCTCCCACTCAGCTGTGGCAGGATTCAGCCTTTTGGCTGCAGAGGGAGTAAAG